ATCCCAGCTTTATCCCGTGTGCCTTTAACTTCCAACCTGTTTTTTTTTCGAATTAAACTAAAAATTCTAATTTAATTTTAAAAATAGTAATTATTATTTTATTTTAATTTCAAACTTTGTACATTTTCTTTGAGAAAGAAAACGGATCCGATGGTGCGAAGGTGGTACCCAATGAGGATTACAACATAATCAAAATTTATAGAAAATAATTTTCTTTCTCTTAAAGTAATGCGTGCTGTTTTTGTTTAGGAGATTTAATAATGTTGACAACATAAAACAAAACAACATAAGAACAAATTTTAAGACAATTAAAAAAAAAGGTTAGAGAAAAATGTTAAGCGCAGGAAATATTAAAAAAAAAACCGAGAGAAAAAATGTATAAAATAAATATTTTCATTTTTTCTTGTGACATTTTTTTGGCGTTTTGTTTTTTCAACTCTACAAAAATCAACGTTCATGCTACGACGATCACATAAATAAAAAAAAAAAATTCACAAGCAACATTCATCTTGTTGTATGCAGTGTAGGCGTCAGAGACAGTCGGTTACATATTTGACAGACGTATATCATCTGACGCTGGTTGTCAGACATACATAGAAGACTACTTGATCTAACAGTTTTTTTAGAGAGGTACCTAGGTGGCTACTAGTTCTAACAGTGTTCGCTACAAGAACTTACTGGCTGACTAAAGTACTGAATGCTTAAATTAACACTGACCAAATACATACAAGTAAAATTTTATGTTAAAATAATGTTTTATCCAGTTCAAATAATAAATAGGTATAGGGTGGGGGAGGGGGGAGGGTAGTGACGCCAAACCGAATATGTAGTTTCATTCCTTCTTCTTCGTTCTTAGCTAAAATATTGGAAGGGTTACCTCCATCACTTTAAGTATTACGTGTCAACTAGTTATGCGCCATAATATAGACCGTTGACTCTGATTTCAGTCTGCTTTTCTTTTTGGATTTGCTTCCATGGCCTTTGTCCAACCAAGAACAAACTACAAGGCAGCAGTTGTTGGGTTTTGGAGTTGTCTCTCCTTGAAGAGTGGCTGACTCCAGCTAACGAGCCTCATCTGTCTAGTGTGTGTGTGTGTGGGGGGGGGGGGGGGTCGAACTCGAGACTTTTCGGTTTAGCAACCATTGAGCTGTACCGACTCCACCATGCCAACCCCTAAAGCTCAAGTAAACGTTTACCATTTTTCTATTTGTATAACCTTCTACAGCCGCCCCACCCCCCACCCACACAGCATTACTTTCAACATATATCATCTTCCTGTTCTACACTCTATAATTAGAATCCAGCATTTATTATGCCATAAAATATAAAAACACTTTACAAATATTGTTCATTGAAAGTTTTCCCGTTGTCATATTTTTTTGCCACTGGCGTTCGTGACGATGCTTTGACATTGGCCGTGATTTCTAAATTAGCCTGAAATCTATACCTGTATCCTCTGACATGAGTAAAAATATCACGCTAATTAAGACGCACTGTGAGTTCGAGTGAGTGTTTGTTGTTTTGAATGAAATGAATTGTTTACAACACACACAAAAAGTTCATAATGAACTGAAGGGTTTGTGAGATGTATACCTTTGTTTATATAGGTCGACGCGGTTTAATCTTAAATATATCATGCCGACCTAAATAGGTCATGGCGGCTTAATAGTAAATAGGTTATTGCAGAATAAATCTTAAGTATGTCATGGCGGCTAAAATAGGTCGTAGCTTCTTTATGTAAAGTAGGTCGAAGAGGCTAAGTCTTAAAGTAGATCGTGGTGGAATGTCTAAAATAGGCTGCGCTAACTTTAAAAGGTTGAAGAGGCTGAAACAGATCGTGATGATTGAAACTTAAGAAGATAATTGCGACGTCAGCTTAAATATAGATTGTTGTGACTTCAACTTGAATACATCGTTTGACGACAACTTAAATAGATCTTTGAGGCGTCAACTTAAATAGAAAGTTGTCACGATAAGTTAAATTGATCGTTGTGATCGTAGAGATGTGAGTGCTCCACTATTTGTTCCACCATAAATATCTGAGTAGTCACTGAGTTAGATGTAATATACAGAGCAACCGTGTTTTATTTATTTAACTAGCAAATACGGACTTTGCCAGGATAGAATATAATTTACAGTATACACATGGAAAGACTTCTCTTGTGTAAGAAAACTTATTCTCTGAAGAGGCGCGTATTTGACTGTAAAGCTGCCCTTTCAGACCTTAAGATCTATTTCTTGAACTCGGCATATGAAGGGATAGTGTTGTCAGCACTATGTCCAGCAGCCTTTACAATCTCCAACGTGAGTCAGGTACCCATCATAGCTGGATAGACTCAGGAAAGTTCTACAGTGCCTAACTCGGTCCGAATTCTGAACTTGAGACTTTTGGGCTAGTAACCGAACGCTCTACCATTCTACCAAGCAGTCGGTACGCATGTTAAAAGCTAGGAGCAGTTCATCCTCGGGGTAATACAGGCGTGGTGTCTGACCCCCCCCCCCCTACCTGTTTCTCCAGTCTCCACCCAACATTAGGCAATAACCGTCTTAATGTGTCACATTAAGATCATTGTAAGATCATTAGTAGATGAAAATAAATTATTATTTTGAAACAACGCGCTTTAACAATAAACTTTTCTAGGTCCGCCGTAGCAAGAAGAAGTAATACTTTGTGACCCCTCATCCCATTCTCCACAAAATTACAGCATTCAAATTGTGCTTTTAATAGATTAAAACCTGGTACAAATCGATATCTATTGATTACGTGTCGACGGCAATACTGATTATCGATTTTTGAAGAAAATCTTAATTCCATTTAACAAATTAGGAAGTGTATTATATCATTTTTTTTAAAGGACGCAAGTTCAAACAAATTCACCGATTGGATGTAGGTCACGCCTTGCTGTTTCGACCAATCAATTTTGTGATAATCAATGCCTTACCATGCTGCTTGTTTTATGTTTAAATTCCTTTGTCCAAAGAAGGAAAATGTTTTTTTTTTAAATTTTCTAGTACCCCCCCCCCCCCAGCTTAATACGTTTTTAATAAGAAAATGTGTTAGTATACATCAATAGGCTTACAAGTGATTTAAAATTAACATGTATTGAAACAGTTCCTATCTTTTTGGTTTTGAAATAAAAAATGAATTTATAAAAAAATAAACTGTACAAATAGATTCAATACAAACAAAACACTAAATAAGAACAACAGATATAGTGCCTATCTATTAGACTTATTTAATTATCTATTAATTCCTATGATAAAGTTATTAAAAAAGTAAAGTCCCCTTCCAATGCAAGTGAAGTAGACTTCACCTGTTTCTGTGACTTCTGCATATGAAGGGATATTGCAGACGGCACTATGCCCAGCCGCCTTTACTTTCCCTATTGTGAGTTAGGTACCCATCAGAGCTGGGTGGACTCGGGGAAGGTCTAGTGACTTGAACGCGGATTTGCATTCGAGACTTACGGGTTAGCAGTCTAATTATCATGTTTTAACCGGATCGTAATTTAACCGCAAATTTCGTAGCTGTAATTCTAAACCAAATCAATTATATCATTTTCAAGAAGATTTATTTTTTGTGAGATTACGTGTATATAATAACGGTATGGCTAATCGATAACAACCAAGACGTCTTATGAAATAAAACGTCAAAAAAACTAAAAAAAAACAAAACAAAATATGCTACAAAAATAAAATTCATTTTAATGAATGGATTTCACAAAAACAACAGCATGGGCAGACAACACATGTGTCTTGTTATTTCCCCTGCCCATCCTTAATTCATAAGATCATTAATTAGCCGCAGACCCAACTATCACATTAATCTGTCAAGCCATAGGGGACAGTCATGGGGCTTCTGGAACCGAGGCCAAGAATGACAGGAGTTTTATTTTATCTTTAAGTTCATCATAATTCTTTCTCAAATCAGGAGGTTTTTTTTTAATTGCTTTGTTCTTAAAAAGTACACAGATAATGTTACATCAAATATTTCGAACTAGGCCTACACCAAATGTGTACCTAGTTGCAATGGGGTTGGAGTAATATATTTGTATACTATATGCGATACTGTCTATTATAAATCTAGACTAGACTATTTCCTACATCGCTGCCTCTATTTACAATGCACAATTATTTTTAAGTTCTTCAAGTAGATCTAGATATCGACTACACTTAAATCAAATCTTCCTCTTGTCTGTATACTAATCCACCAACTGTCAACTAAATATTGTGTACTACGTCATACTGTACTCACTCGTGTCATACACACACTACATATGTTGTAACTAACAAATAAAACAAAATCAAATTCCCTGGAACCTTATCGTCTTCCGCCAATACGAACTAACCCAAACACGTCATTATATGATGTCTATGTCTAACTCTATCGTTAGTCTGATCACATTTAAATCAACACCATAACACCTTGATTTTATGTACATCATTATCGCAGAAAATCCAATCCCGTGGTTGACACCCCCCTTGCGACGCCATTGCTTAATAACGAGGGGCGTTAACCGTTAAAATTTGAGGTTTACACTCACGTTCTAATTGTATGGTCACATATTTATCTACACTATGAAGCCACTCCTTGATTTTATGTACATTATACAGCAGAGAATCTTGTTCCGGGGTGAACACCCCACCTTGCGAAGCCACTGCCCAATAACTAGGGGTGTTAACCGTGAGAATTTGAAGTTTACACTCACGTTCTAATCCTATGGTCTGGTCACATGTACACTATGATAAAACTCTTTGATTTTGTGTACATTTATAAAGCGTTAAGTCTCGTCCGGGGATGGACGCCCCCCCCCCGTATGACGTCAAAGTCCAATAACAATAGGGGGTTAACCGTTAAATCTTGCTCATGAATTCTCTCACCTGCCAGGTAATGCTCTCACACAAAACTTACTCACACTCACGTATCTAATGGCATGAATTCTCTCACCTGAAAGGTTATGCTCTCACACGAAACGTGCTCATCCTCACGGTCTAATTGCATGAATTTTCTCACCTGCCAGGTAATGCTCTCACACAAAACTTCCCTCGTGGTCTTGGCGTTTCTAGCCCTCAGCTGGCTCGTGCAGGGAACCACGGCATCACAGAACAGACAACATGTTCGGAGCGACGACAAAATCGGACTGGTGAGTTGAATTTTTTTTACCCCCCCCCCCCCCCCCCACTCCCATTTCAGTGGCCTAGAGGAAGAGGGCTAGGCTGCTAACATGAAAAGTCTCGAGTTCGAATCTGCGTTAATGTCAGTAAAACGTCCCTGAGTTCACCCGTCCCTGATGGGTACCCAACTCACGTTAGGGAAAGTAAAGGCGGCTAAGCATAGTGCTGACCACACTATCCCTTCATATGCCGAGGTCAAAGAAACAAGTGAACTCTACTTCACTTGCTCAATAGACCACAAGGTTTAAAGGGAACTTTTTTTTTACTTTTATTTCCATATCAATTCCACCAACTTCGAACAAAATCATAGGATTTTTATTTTCTTTGAAAATTTAAAAAAATTTTAATATCCAAATCTCGCTGCTAGTATTATGGTTGATATCAGAGGAGTGAATAGTAGCAACAGTCACATTCACATACTCCAGTCAACCACTTGTCACAATAGACCGCCTCCAAATCAACCACCTCTAATTTACCTCAAATAAAAAGAAAGCATTAACTCCAGCAATCAACAACTAATCAAATCCACTTCCTTAATATTCAACATGTATGACTGCACGTCCGTTTGATCATTGGAGCGTGATTTGTTTTTAAGTCATACCTTTGTTGATTTAGAACATTGGAGAAATTAGGGGATTTAATATTTTCAAAGTAAGAGTTGCCCTTTCGAACCTGGCGGTCCATCTGGCAGAAGAAGTAGAGTTAACCTGTTTATATAACCATAGCACACGCAGGAATAGTGTTGTCAACACTATGCCAAGCCGTCATTTTTCTCTAACCGTCAGGTACTCATCAGAGCTGGGTGGGCTCAGAAATAAGAACTCATGGATCCGAACTCGATTAATACAGGGGTACGCTTTACCAGCTAGCCGTTATTAAACGGGTGACCGGAAAGATGCGCAGCGGAAAACTGGGCACAAAAGTGTTTTTCTCAAATCAAGCATTTATATTTGTAGCATAATAAAACACTTTTCCACGAAATATGACGAAAATAAAGTATACTAATAAAATTATTTTGTTTGTGGGCATTTTGTTTTTTTAAATTGCGCAGTTTTCCGTTTGCGCATTTGCAATAGAGACTAATTATGGTAATTCTAATGTTAAATACATTCCACATCTGCCCAACCTGTATACTGTCACTCACCTCCCCCCCCCTACTCTCCAGCAAATCGTGTCACTAGCGAAAAGGATCATCAATCTCGCCACCTATGGTTTTGATTGGGAGGAGATCGTCAAGAGGAATGGAGGGACCGCTGATACAATCTACAACCTGCCTGACCTGGAGGATATTGGGAGGAAGTAGACTAAATGGTAAGAGGGGGTGGGGGAGGGTGGGGGGAGGGGCTGATACAATCTACAACCTACCTGACCTGGAAGGCATTGGGAGGAAGTAGACTAAATGGTAAGAGGGGGTGGGGAGGGTCGGGGGGGGGGGGGGAGTGGGGGCTGATATAATCTACAACCTGCCTGACCTGGAAGACATTGGGAGGAAGTAGACTAAATGGTAAGAGGGGGGTGGAGGGTGGGGGGAGGGGCTGATACAATCTACAACCTGCCTGACCTGGAAGACATTGGGAGGAAGTAGACTAAATGGTAAGAGGGGGGTGGAGGGTGGGGGGGCTGATACAATCTACAACCTGCCTGATCTGGAAGACATTGGGAGGAAGTAGACTAAATGGTAAGAGGGGGTGGGGGAGGGTGGGGGGGGGGCTGATACAATCTACAACCTACCTGACCTGGAAGACATTGGGAGGAAGTAGACTAAATGGTAAGAGGGGGTGGGGGAGGGGGGAGGGGGCTGATACAATCTACAACCTGCCTGACCTGGAAGACATTGGGAGGAAGTAGACTAATTGGTAAGAGGGGGTGGGGGAGGGGGGAGGGGGCTGATAAAATCTACAACCTACCTGACCTGGAAGACATTGGGAGGAAGTAGACTAAATGGTAAGAGGGGGTGGGGGAGGGTGGGGGGGGGGGGGGAGCTGATACAATCTACAACCTGCCTGACCTTGAGGGCATTGGGAGGAAGTAGACTAAATGGTAAGGGGTTCAGGTGATAGGGGGGGGGGGAGTGGGGGCTGATACAATCTACAACCTACCTGACATTTTGCACATTGGCAGGAAGTAAACTAAATGGAAAGTGTTTGTTTGGGTGGGTATGTTAACTAACGTCAGTGTCTTGGCGTCGTTGTTATTTGTAAAGCCCTGTCAAGCAATATATTAAAAAATACTTAAAAAAAAACTTTTTAAAAAACCACGTTTTTCTTGTGGACTAAAAAGTAGAAAATAAAATTTTCTTTTGTGCTTCCTCGAGCTGTGCAGGTT